TACTTTGTAAAAAGATATTCCTATTCTTTTTTCTTCAGAATCACAGCTCTTTATATTTCATTTTTCATATGATTGATTGCGCAGGTCTATTAAATTTGATATTTTAAACTTTCAGGTTGGATCATCCTCACGAGGATCAATATATATTTGCCACACACCCGAGTGCCATGAGGGTAACTTCTATATTCTGGCATATGGCTTTGTTTAACTAGATTCTTCCAAAGTTGCAATACCCTTCTGACCTTTCATCTTCTTTTTTTAATTTTAGCTTGGATATGGTTGCAGTTGAGCTTTTAATACGATTAGTGCATGGTTGTCTTCTTGCTTCGATTGGAGTGATTTTCATTTTAGCTTTCGTTTTACACGAGGTTCCATGAGCATTGAGCGTTCTTCAAAAGTTTTTAATTGAATATTGATTCGGTTTGGCAAGCCTTGGTTCAACTGTGTGGTAGAAAATATCTCTGATATTTTAGTGTGTACAATCATTTAGTGCTCTAATCAACTAATTTCGGAGTTGAATTATCTTGTAATTACTGTAAATAATTTTGTACTAGTATAAATATATTCTTGTGTGATCTGATTACAAAAAATCCCAGCATACTCTCTCCATTTTCTAGTGTAAGGCTGCTGCCATGGGACCTGGTGGTCATATATTCTGGTCACTGAAACAGCCTCTACATTTGTGGGGTAGGGGTAAGGATATGCACATCTAACCCTCTGAAGACCCCACGATGGTGGGAGCCTCATGCACGGAGCTACCAAAAAAAATGATTTGGCTTCTATATGAATCATCTGATTCAATTAATACTTTGCCAAAGATGCTGTTACATAGGGCTCATTTTAGTCTTTAATATGTCAAATGTTAAATGCAGAACATCATCAATTAATCGTTTCCATCATTTACTCTCTGCAGTTACTATGAAGGACAACTTACTCCTATCTCTGAGATTGATGTTGAAGATGAAGAGCAGGCTCCTCGAGTTAGAGTTACAAAAGCTGCAGAGAACATATGTTACTTCTAAAGTCCCTTTTTGGAACAGGTTTAGATAGTTCTGTTTGTTTAAGTGTCACATAGAGGAGGGGAAAGCCCTATACATTGTGTATTTGGGATGTATTTCTTCTATGTAAAATTTCTGTCTTTTATAAGAATCATATTGTGTTCTTGATAATCCTTGTTTACCATGTGTCCTTGTTCATATTCAACAATTTTATTACTGGAAACACATCAGAAAGACAATTACTTTCAGACAGGTCCGTGCTTATGTGTGCTAGCACTTTTCTAATAATTGGTTTCTTTTAGCTTTTAGATAGTGTTTAATGACTGAGTTAAAACATAGTGTGAGTGTGAAGGCTACAATTTTATTTGTTATTGTCTATGCTCATAAGTCTATCAATTTATGTTATATTTCCAATATATGCATTACCTTTATTATGATACTGCTATGAATTCAGGTTTCGCTACTTGAAGAAATATAAAACCTAGAACAGATCTTCCTCATCTGCGTGAAAGATGCCCAGAGAAGATCCACTACATTGGTGTCTCATTTTGGCTAACATTGAACCTTTTTCGCTTTTGTAGGAAGCATAAATTTGCTCCTTTCTACATTGGCCAGATTCCAGTTAAGCTATGCTCAAAATCTTTAACTTGTTATTTGTGTAAAAGAAATGAACTGGGGAGCAAATAATTTTCTCCAATGGTCATTTATGACTTGGTTTTGCTCAAAATAGGGTTTTGTGACTGGCTCACCGTCTCATCGCCAAGGATTTTCCACCAAGGTCGGTCTAACATGAAAGGTACTTTTAACTGATGAGAATATTTTGTTGTAAGCTATCTGATAACATAATTCATTGTATGTGTGGGACTTAGAATCCTACTCAAAAACTTTTTTTAAATAAAAATAGCTTTGTATGTTTCTTTCAGGTTATTACTTTATTTTTATTTTTTAATTTTTTTGGGTAGACTATTTTTTGTAAAAACAAACTTGTATCTACCGTAGGACATTTCCATGCGGTCATTGCAACTTGTTCTTCCTCCTCAATATAGGAACTGCATAACATTTCACTAGAAAGGGAGCGAAAACGAGCACTGTCCATGGTTTACTTTAGAATGGCCAAATGCACTTTTCTTTTTTACTACATGTCATTTATATTTTTTTAACTCTTTTTATAGTATCATATAAGAACATCCATCTTTTCATTTGAGTTTAGACAAGAGTGCAAAATTTCCTCAGTTGTATTAGGATGATGTCTCTTTAAAGAGATTAAAGCAAGAATAATATATATCTTGCACAGGTTAATAATAGAGAGGTGCAGTTGACCTGTTCCTTTCTAATCCAATAAGGAATCAAAATCAAGGGTTATGATACAGGATATTATATGTTCAAATAAAAATATTATTATATGTAACAACATAATATCATAGTTTCTGTGCCCTTATTTGTTATTGGGAATGTTGTCTCTTTCAGGCAGGAGTTATTGAAGATATAGTAAATGATGTTGTTGACTCAGCACTAGATTCGCAAGACATAGAAGATGAGATAGAAGAATAAGTTGATAAAGTTTTAACTGCAATAGCGGGTGAGACAACTACACAACTTCCTAAAGCTGTGTGGAAAGAAAGGGTGAAGCAACCCCTATGGATAGAATTGACCTTATTAGCAAGTGTGGTGTATTTCCTTCCATCTCTTATGGCTTGAAAAGCACATATCTGAATTTTTGATTATACTTTGTTTAATGGATAGAATTGACCTTTTACTTGATCAAACACATTATCTGACTGCAGTTGCTCTGCTACAGGGAATAGATGTTAGAAGACACTTCATTGAAGCATTGGCCTGTCAGCTTGGAAGGCAAGTTGAAGTCGTTCCTGTATCTGCCCTTAACACTTATTCTCAAATTGCTAGGATTACTTGGCTTTAATATTAATTGTTAATTTTTGACTTCTCTGTTTCTAGGACATGATTAAATGTATGGAGTTTCATCCATTTTTTAGTGATAAGACATGATTAAATGTATGTCTTGTTAGCAAGCAATATTCTCTATGTCTTGTATGTTGCAATAAATGTTGTTTTCGTTAAATTTCAGCAAATAAAAAAGTAGCCACAATATAGTGTGGCTATTTTTTAAATTTTTTTTAATTATTTTAGCCACATTTGAACCGTGCCAAATATAACTTTAATTGTAGCTAAATATATGCTACCACACTGAATCAGAATGTGGCTAAGTAAAACAAATAATGTGGTTAAAAGATTGCTACGCCATGATTAGCCACATTTACAAAAAGTGTGGTAGCTTTTGTTTGCCACATTTTTTATATGATTTAGCCACATTTCTGAATGTGGCTAAAAAGCGTTTTTTTTTTGTAGTGATATTATGAAATGAATTATTGTATTAAAATATAGTCAGCTACATTCTTTTGAATAATAATTGTTAGATATTAACTTTTTTATCCATCCTTACTTAATAAATTAGAGTATATATATATATATATATATATATATATATATTAGTAAAAGGCGAAAGAATAGTTCGCTCTGTGCTCACCACACGGCTCCATAATTAGATTATATTTTAGTGAGGGTAATTCAATCTCTTAATTAATTATTCTTCAAAAGAATGAAATAAGAATTATTCTAATTTTTTTTCATTTGAATTTTTTTGTTTACAAACTATATTATGTACTCTCAGAAGTACATTAGGTTACACTATAGTGTAATTTGTAAAAAAAAAAAAAAAAATTATAAACGGATCCTTCCCCTATATATAAATAAGGAAGATCTAATTTATAATTTTTTTTCTCTTACAATTCCTTTTATGGTTGTTGAATCAAAATCAATCAACGGTTACAAAATAATACTAAATGAGAACCATAAATTTTATTTTAATCCAACAACAATAAAAGTGGTTGTAAGAGATGATAAGAAAAAAGATGTAAATATAACATCTCCATATATATATACGGGAGAAATATTTCTACAACTACTTTAAATAAGGTCGTCTACCAGCTACCCTTTTTAACTAAGTCTGACCAGTCATATATAGTTATAACAATAAAACTGCGTGGCGGAGAGAGAAAATACAATTTTTATGTATGACTGGTCAGATTTAGTTAAAAGGGGTAGCTGTAGATAACCTTATCTAAAGTGGGTGTAGAAATACTTTTCCCATATATATATATATGATAAAATCATTTATACAACCGTTTTACGTACAGCAACGACAGGTGTATGGTTATGATTCCCCACATTTAATGCTTTCATACATATGATTCCTCGCATTTAATGTTTTATATATATATATATATATATATATATATATATATATATATATATATATATATATATGGGGTAAACATTTTTACAGTCACTTTAGATAAGGTTATCTACAACTACCCAAAAACTACGTCGTTTTGACTAATGAAGGGTGTTTCTGTAATTTTAGGTGAATTAATGAAGGGTGTTTCTGTAATTTTGCTTATTCTTTTATCATATACATTTTACTAAACACCCTTCATTAATTCACCTAAAATTACAGAAACACCCTTCATTAATCAAAACGACATAGTTTTTGAGATTGCTGTAGATAAACTTAACTAAAGTGGCTGTAGAAATATTTTTTCCTATATATATATATATATATATATATATATATATATATATAGGTAAAGGATTTCTCTAATGGAGATAAGTTATCTCCAGTGAGCCTAAAACGACGTCGTTTTGGGACGAAAATCAAGGTATTTTTGTAATTATAATATATTGCAGAGTTATTTTAGTCTTTATCATTATAATTTTTAATCTTATAACCCAAAACGACGTCATTTTGAGCTCACTGGGGATATAACCGGAGAAATATTTTTCTCTCTATATATATATATATATATATATATATATATATATTGGGCTGGGCCAAGGAGCATGATTGGACTCATGTTGGTGGATTTTGTGGTTGTTCGGCTTTGCCCTTCCTCTCCCCCCTATTCAGTACAGAAGAAGAGAAGATTTCAACAGTAACTATTGCGAGAGAGAGAGAGAGAGCAATTCTGCTATCAAACTACAGAACCTATTACATATGGACTCCGATCCCGAATATTTGGAAAAGACCGATTCCTTGTTTGTTTGGGATGAAAAATCACAGCTTTACTTCCATGCTAGGTTTTTATCCTTGTTAAACAAAAATATTTCATGAATTAATGATTATTCTGTTTGCTCTTAATCGTTTCGCGAACCCGATGATGTTTGAATTTTTATTTATTTATTTATTTTCAATTTGTAGTGATTACCATTTCCAGAACAATAGAATTTAATTTATAGTGGTGTTTATTTGTTGAGCACCTGAACATACGCTTCCCCAGAAACTATCGTTTCTTTTTCATACGATGATGATTGATATGAATGGAATGGTTGCTCTACATTCCTCCATTATTATGTTTGGCATGTTAGAATTGATATAAATAAAATATAATGGAAATTAATTTTTAGATGAAATTAAATGGGGATTCATTCACTTTTATGATGGAATACCTATTCATACAATTGAAGGTCCTTTCCAACAACCCATTCAAACATGTAAATGACTTATTCCCATTCCATGCCTCCCAACATAACATATCCTTTCTTTGGTAGATTACATGTAAATCATGAATATAGCAACAAGCTTCCCTTAGTTTTCTGGTTTTTTGTATAAATTTGTGGTCATTAACCTTTTTCTCTCTTCTTCTTTTTTTGTTTGGGGAAATGTAATTAACATCGTGCAGTAGTGGATTTTACCATGACCCTAATGCTGGCTGGTACTATAGCAGCAGAGATGGTGTTTATTACAAATTCGAGGACGGAAATTATGTACTTTTAGATTCCAATAAGGTAGGTTTAGGCTTGTAATTAATCTATATCTGTGATTTTTTCAGAAATAAGCTCTTAAATCATTATCATTTCAAGTTGGTGATTCAAGTTATTATGCACGTTGTCTCAGGATGATTGTGGAGAAACATATCTGAACAAGGAAACTACACTGGAAAATCCTCAACAAATATATGGTAACAACAATGAGGATTACCCTTCCTTCCTTGAAAGTAAATTTGAAACTCACCAACAGATAGGTACCTTGGCTGATGAAGCAGCCGATGGTAAGTAATGTTAACCTGCTGACTGTATAGCTGTATTTGAATTAATTCTTTATAATCATACATCAAGGTAGTTCTGAGGTATGTTCTGTGCACAATATTACAGTATGATGATGGTAGGAAACAGGTTCTGCAGTAACCAAGGAACTGGGGGTTACTGCCATGAGCCACCTAGTCATGTCACCTACATCTGTACTTCCTCTATTTTAATGCAATAGACAACTGATTTTCTACTGCACTTTGAGCATCAACATTCTGGTGTTTCAGACATGCAGCAGTAATTAATATCAGTAACTTCAGTTATCTAAGTAGCTGTCTTTGTAATAGATGCCATGAATTCCATGAGCAGTCCAACTTGTGAAAACCCTCCTCCACCACCATCGGAATGGTATCTACCTTCCACTTCCTTATTCCATTTATGATTTTACCTTCACACTTTTCCCCTGAAAATTTGTCATTTTGCTAACTAACAGGTTAGAGGACACACTTATTGATCTTTACCTATCTGGCTACAACAACATAGCAGTTAGTGCAGCAGATACAGTGACAGTGCCCCAGGAAACAGATGACGGATATAACTCTAAGTTTGCAGCTGACGGTTTGTTCATAACTTCCGTAGTTTTTTTAAAAAAAAAAAGAAAAAAAGAAAAAAAAAAAGAATGTGATTACTTAGACAGCTTGTATATGAATTCGTTTCTTGAATGTATAGCTTACAGCAATACTTGTGAAGTGGAAGGTGAGTGGATCCCTGACCCAGTGGATGAAAATGGCATAGCTCATAAAAGTACTGTAGATGAAGGTATAGCTTACAGCAATACGTATGAAGTGGAAGAAGGTGAGTGGATCCCAGACCCAGAGGACGAAAATGGCATAGCTGATAGAAGTACCATAGATGAAGGTATTGCCACAGATTTGCCTGATTGCCTTCTTCATATCTGAAGGCAACAATATTGTTTCGATTTGATAGCTTGTGTCTTGTAACTAATTAGCATTTGATATTTCAATCTACACTCTTTATAAATAATCTGTAGAAAAATTATTATGATTTGCCGTTTGCGTATACTGCAAGAATCATTGGGCTGTTTCCTTCAAGGGCTTGCTTCCTTGTGTTGTTTTGATTCAGTAATCTAGTTAAATGTTTTTTTTTTCTATTCATGGATGTCATTACAGTTTTCATGGCATGAGTGAAATTGAATGCCAATTTTGTTCATATGCTTGATGTTATAGGTATGTCGTTGGATGAAGAGAAATGGCGTGCTCAGTATGGTCAAGTAATTGAATCAGGGAAAGATCTGGTTTCAGAGTTTCCAATTATGGACTTATGGGATTGGGAAATGGTTAGAGGATCCAAAAAAGATGGAAAAGATAATGCGGCAAGGTTGGTTGGAAGACCGGTAAAACAATATGCCAAGCGACATCCGTCTATCGCTTCTTGTGGAGGGAAATTAAGATCTGCTCCTATCTGTGAAGTACATCTCAATCTGGTACTAGTCAAAACAGGTTTGCATTTTACTCTCGGATTCGTTGGTGCATATCTTTCTCCACATTACGAGATGTGACTATTATGAAGTGATTTAAGAGAGATGTAATCATATATAATTTGAAATTTTTTTCATACATGTATATCTTTCCTTTAAAAGAGTCGAGGCTTGAGCAGTGGTAAAACTGTTCCTTTATGATTGAAAAGTCAGGGGTTCGAATCCAAGAAACAACATCTTTGCTAAATGCAAGGATAAGACTGCGTACAAAGATTACCCTCACCCCTACCCTAGCTATCTGAGGTCTAATAGGGAGTGATTTTTTTTTTTAATGTATATCTTTCCTTTAGAACCTGTAATATAAGTTTCATTTTGAAATAATGGATGGTTTACAATTTATAAGCAACAATGAAGGTAGCTCACATGGCTAGTTTTGAAATAACCAGTTTTGGGATTTTCAGTTAAATGGCAGTACTAGAAGTACTCTCTGGACTGAATATGGCTGCTTGTCATGTTTTTGTTTATCAGGACTAGTATACAAATTGCGAAATCCTAGTGCAAGATATGTTTCTTCATTATCAACTTATGATTCTGCCAATCCAACAAAAGATTGGGATTTTCCTCAATTATCATCTAATAGAAAAATTGCCCGTCCCTCTAAGTCCAGTGAAAGCATTGCTTCAGCTTCAGATGAAATCCCTATAGAGAAGGATTTGTCTATGGTGCCAAGTCAGCTCTCTGCATCCAAGGTGTGTAATCTGACTTAGAAATATAACAACTAGTAGCTGTATTCTGTTCCGTGTGTAATAGATGGATGTCAAACTTTTACAGAAAGCACATAAAATGATAGTAGTAGTTGCGGGCTAAAGCTTATTAAAATTTAGAAAGCACATATATGGATGCTAAGGCTAATTAAAATTTTCCTGACTCATAAATCATAACTGTCATGAAAAGTGAGAACTTCAAAAAGAGTTGCAGGCTATGGAAGCTTAAGGATCATAGAGGGAAGAGAGAATATTACAAGGATGAGAAAAAGTTTTCTAAACTTATATATCCCTACTCCCATGATCACCCTCTATATAGAAAAATTCAATAAAAGGAAATCTCCAGATTTTTTTAGCCTTCAATCATTTACTCTTTTGCTATGCCAGCAAATAAAATGTCAATACAGAGATAGGGCTGCTGAAAGAAGAATCTTGCATGGTGGCTTTGGAGTGGGTCCTGGACAAAAGAATCTAGCAGTCAGTTATAATACGCCATCATCACCTTCTACTAGTTGTCCACAACAAGCTGCATCAGAGGCCTTGGAGATGTCATTTGGAGCAGGTAGCTATGCCAGAAAACTTCTAGAAAGCATGGGTTGGAAAGAGGTATTTTCTTTGTTCCTGCCATCTTCAAGATATTATATTATAATTGCAGAAAGGTTTTAAATAAAATTGATATCGATAATAGTGTTTTTCCCCCAAAATTTAAAGAAATGCACTTTAGTCTGGGCATGTGATAATGTTGAAAGGTTTGACCCTCCAAATCTGCAATGAAAGGAACCATACCACTGCATATACACATTCTACACCCTTTCTTATGGTCAAGCTATGAATAATACTGACTCCTATCACTACTTTCCGTAATGGCTCTGATTGTGAAAATATATTCGGTTTTATAGGCAATTATCAATTAATCGATCATTGTGCAGGGGGAAGGGCTTGGCAGTTCCACCAAGGGCTTGGTGGAACCTATTCAACCAATTGGCAACATTGGCAATGCGGGTTTGGGATGGAGACGTCGAAATTCGCAAAACGAATAAGCAATCCAACTACATAGTGTTCGCAGTTGTAGGAGTTTTAGGGGATATTTAAAGAGGCTTAGAGCAATTTACAGCGGAGATACTGAATTCTATTCCTAGAAAGTTAACCTTTTTCTTTTTTCTTACTTCCCTTGTAATCAACCATATACCATGACAAACTATTACATTGTAGCGCAATCTGCAATAACGAGAACTATATTTCTATTCGGAGCAGGAGCAAAATCATTCCTCATTAACTTACACAGTTGCATATTCGCCTAAAAAAAAGTCTATTCAATTGAATTTAATATAACATACAACTAACGGTAAAAATTTAAGAGAAAAAATTTGAATGTTTTCTACAATAAGTTGGCAGCTTCCCCAGGTATCACTTCATCCCTGTCATTACTATTAAACGGTGCATCTGACCGTTCATCCTCTCTGAACTTTTTTGGCGTCTGTAGCTCATGTTTGAGTCTTTCGATCTCCCGATCCTTCTCTTCTAATTTATCTTGCAACATAAGAACCTGCATTGAATTCCAATTTAATTTTGTTCTCATGGTATTACATATATATGCGAATAAGAACACTGCAACTACTGTTAGTTGGTCATAAATTTTGAAAAAAACTGTTTGGAAAATTGATGCCAAATTTTTTAGAACATGATTTTAGAAGCACAGACATATTAACACGTCATGCAATGCGACACAGGAATACAGTAAGTATATATTTAATTTGATTTATTTTTAGAAAAAAATTAATCTTTTAAAAAAATAATAAATAACTTTTTAAAATAAACTAAAACAAATACACACTAAATTTTAAAATTGTAGCACACAGATAAGACACACACTTATATAATTAAAATCTAAGGAAAAAGATATATAATTCATAATATTATATAATATAAACTTAGATATAATAACTTTAGGGGCAAAATATACTTACTACCCAAAAATTTCGGTTAATTTAACGATTATAATTTATTGAAATTAATAATTAATTAATAAATATGACCCAATAAATATTATTAATTTCCAATACATTATAACCGTTAGATTGACAGAAATCAATGGTGATTAAATTAGTTATAACACTGATAAAAAAATTTAGTTGTAAGTGTATCATTCCCGTAACTTTATATGTCATAACTGGTCATACTTGCTATTTTGTATGCCTTTCCGAAAAGGAGTGAAACTAGACACGTTCGAGTACAACCATTTTTTTTTTTTCAGATTTTAAAATGGTCAAGTTCCGAGTTAAAATATAAATTTAAAATTGAACGCGAATCAGACAAATGTCCTTGGTGTGTTGTACAAGTGTCTGACACACAGGATACAGCAACAAAATGGCGTGTGCGCTTTATAAGATGATACAATTTCAATATTTTCTACACAAAACTTCAACATTTTCCCGGGTGGGATAGAAATAAAGTTAAAGTATACAAAAAGCCTCCAGTAAAAAATCTAAGCTCTAATTTCTATCAACCAATTTTTCAACACATTTTCATAAATAAATTATTTCATATGAACCAATGAAGCATTTTATAACTGAACATGCATTGCAATCATTAAAAAACATTGAAATAGAAAAAGAAGGGAGAAGTGAAAACCATTTCATTGGATCTTTCCACATCGTTAGTCAGTCCTTCCATGTGCTTCTGCAACCCTGTAGTCAATGTTAAATCCTAATCCTTGCAAAAATTGCAAATGCATGATATAATTAGCTCAAATGAAGACAACTTTTAACCCTAAAAAAGGCAACAAACAAGTTCTTCCATCCCTATTCCTAACAAACGTATAACATGTTAAAAATATCCCAAGCTCAGCACATTTATAACAATATTTCTAGCATACTATTATAATTCAAATAAAAATTAACATGATTATAAATGCACTTATATGAATCTGATACCAAAGCTGACACAGCAGTTGCCCAGTAGATGGTCAAGACTCAAATGATTGAGAGACCAGAACATAATGACATGAATTTCATTCAACAAACCTTCAAATTGATTTCTGAGTTGGACATTCTGGGACTTCTGTAATGCAAGTTTCATTGTTAATTCATGTATCTGCACAACAACAAAAAGAAAAGAAAAGAGAAGAGAAGAGAATACAATATAACCATTAATATAGCAATAAGCCAATAACAAATTCCATAAAATACATTGGGTGAAATTAAACTTTCGGCTTTACAATTGTGTGAATGCAAGCAAGTATAACATTACTGTCTGTTACTAATACATTATATGAATGGAAGCAAGTATAGCAAATGAGATAGCAACACCTTCCCCTCAGAGGCTTGATTTCCAATCTCCTCATTTTCCTCCTGTAAGGTTCTACATTTAGCCATCAGCATCTTCCCCATCTTGCTTTGGGGAGTAAAACTTACAGCAGCAATGTTTTCTTGCAACTCCTTTACTTTTTTGTCCTTTTCCTCAACTAAATTCTATTATCAGATGAGAACTCTAGTAAGAACAACTAAAAAGGAGTAATTACCATCATTGCAAATAAAATGTCCCATAACTAACAAAAGAAATTATTAATATACATAGAAAATGAGGACATGTGATGTATACGAAAATAAAGTAAAATGTAACTAATTAACTATTTTGAGACACAAGAAAAAACAACCAAGACAACACGGCTTTTTGACCCTTGTGCCCTTCATTAATTAATTAATAACCATTTTGTCCCTTATCCAAAACTATCTATCAATCTGCTCCTCTTTAATCGATTAACTTGAAGATTTAATCCATTAAATAGTCAAAACTGGCAAAAATGGTTGACTTAAATATTTAATCTATTAAATCTTCAACTTAATCGATTAAATCTTCTTGGCGTATGATGATAATTGATGGACCAATTCTTTCTTGTTAATATCCGTATGCAAGCCACTAAATGGCTTTCACAGACTGATTTGCCTTTTTTGTATATATGACTTCTGACAGCAAATAATTTCAGTAAGACTTAACTGTATACCAAAAAAAGAAATATCATAGGGATACAAAACAGTACTTTTATTGATTTTATCGATGACAATGGATCATCAATTAACTAACACTCACCAGCACGATATTACAATGCCACAAATAATGAGAAATTGGAATTATCATAATACGATTCTTGTATCCTGCAGGTTAATATACTCAACAAAGATCAGAGATGATATACTAAAATCCAACGTGTTCAAAATCAATCACATAAACAAAGTCTAAAAATTGGCAAGAAAGAATTGGTGCATCAATTATCATCATACGCCAAGGAAGGGTAACAGCAGATTGGCTTGTGAATTGTTGAGATATATAAAATCATTAATGTAACCTCACCCAATAGCTTAAGCTTTTGGGTTGAATTGGTTCTTTACATGGTATCAGAGCCTCGTGTCCCGGGTTCGATCCTCGCCGCCTCCCACTTTCTTTGTAGTGGAATTTCTTTATTTGCACAGGTAGGTGAGCATGTGCATTGTCCACCCTTCAAGCCCAATGGGCTATCGTGTGAGGGGGCGTGTTGAGATATATAAAATCATTAATGTAACCTCACCCAATAGCTTAAGCTTTTGGGTTGAATTGGTTCTTTACACGAATTACCACCACCATCATCACCACAAGTTAGATGATTATAAGCAGTTTTGCCATTTTTGCCAAATAGGCCAAGAAGATTAATCGATTAAGTTGAAGATTTAATTGATTAAATCTTCAAGTCAACCATTTTTGTCAGTTTTGACCATTTAATCGATTAAATCTTCAAGTTAATCGATTAAAGAGGGGCAGATTGGTAGATAGTTTTGAATAAGGGACAAAATGATTATTAATTAATTAATGAAGGATAAAAGGGTCAAAAAGCCAAGACAACACATATAAGTTACGGTCTATATAGCATCAGTATAACATATGTCTAAAAGGAAAACACATCTCAGAAGCTGCATAACATTCACTCCTTATTCATCTTCGAAATTTAAAGGTTCTTGCTTATTTTAATATGCCATCCGAAAACCCCATTTATACATTTAAAATATCCTCACCATAGAACTTATCTCCTTTACCTCTTAGGTTTCAAGCGCTGTCTGTATCACATACCCAAAGTGCAAAGCTTGGTTATGCTCTTCATATTTTGTGTTAATTTTGTTCCATTTCAGTTTGTAACCTCCAAAATAAAAAAATCTCTTTATGAGTTCCCCCAGTGAACAAGGGACGAAACTATGTCCATATAGCAACACTGTTCATCCCAGATGATAACAAGATATTTCTTAACCACACATCTTGGTGAAAAAACCTGTGTAGACAACTTGGACTAACCTTTTCCTAGTGCAAGATGAGCTATGACACTCAATTTTTTCCACCTCCCCGTGCGTATCTCTACAGAGAGAGATACACCAAATATAATTAAATAGAATTCAGCATCAAGTTGAATAACAAACCTTTAAACGTGTGAACTCCTCGTGAACAGCCGGATCTAGTAACAACCTCCTTGCCTGAAAATTGTATTCCAATGGATATCAAGGCATAACCATTTTGAGTAGAACTAATTTGATGTAGAAATTGCACAACAGATTACTTTCAACTAACATGTGACATGATCAAGATATGAACAAAGTCACTGCCATTGTAAAAATAGCACAGACAACAATGGTATAAGAGTGAAACAGAATCACTTTAACAACAAATTCATTACTATTCATCCTTTATCACAGCTATTGAATTTTCTGTAAGTTTAGTGAAAAAATAATATCCCAAATCTCTGATCCGTAGAGTCAGTACCCAGGTACTTATAATAATTCAATTTGTAGGAAATCAGGATTCAAATATTTCTGTTTTTATTTCCTATTAATTAGTAGATAGGATTTATGACTCATTGATATGATTGATTACTCACAGCTGAGTCATACTTAGCTATTCTCTCTTGTATAAATACTCCTTATGTAATTCAATCATTGAATCAAATATACAAACAAAAAAACATTTTTTTTTAATATTTCAATATGGTACTAAGAGCAGGTACGTTCCTACCTTAGATCAGCCATCTTCAAGGCTGAATCACCATCCAAAACACCATACAAAACACTATCCCACTTCTGCCCAAACCCAGATATCCTATCTACAAACCTCCAATCAAGAAAGTGAAGTGACCATTCGACTCAGAAGGCTCCGACGAGTCAAACGCCACCAGACCCATCACCCTCAGCCACCTCACGCGCCTTCACGAGCCACCACACGCGCGTCCATTCCCTGGTGCGTGTAGCTCACGCTCCGCCTTCCAGGGAGCTTTTTCCGCTGCGACTTGCACAGAACAACTCACCGGCGTCCCCTTTACCTATTTCAAAGGTCAGACCTGCAAAAGAAAAAACTTGATTTTTTTCATCCACGGTCAAATCCTCTCTCTTCATTCATGTCTTCCTCAGAGCGTTCTTCTACTTCCTCATTTGTTCCCAATACCCAGTCCTCTGGAGACAACTTAGGTATGCAGATCACTAGTCACCGGTTGAACGGTAAGAATTTTCTGCAATGGTTTCATTTTGTTAAGTTGGTCATCCGGACAAAAGGTAAGATGGGTTATCTTGAGGGAAAAATTAAGAAACTTGCTGATGATGCTCCTAATTATGAAAATTGGGAGATTAATAATTCCTTGGTAATGGTGTAGCTGACTAATTCCATGGAACCACAGATCGACCAAACCTATTTGTTCTTCGATACTGCCAAGGAGATTCGGGATGTTGTTCAACAAAATTATTCAGACCTGAAGAATACCTCTCAAGTCTTTGAACTGAGAAATAAGTTAAGGGACTTTCGTCAAAAGAGTATGACCATTACTGAATATTTTACTACACTAACAAATCTGTAGCAGGAACTGGGTCTTTCTTATGCATCCGACCTTAAAGGATTGGAAGCTAATACCTAGCTTAAAAAACACTTGGAGAAGGAACGATTTTATGATTTTCTTGTTGTCCTCAACCGAGATCTTGATGAGGTTCGTGGTCGAATATTGGGACAGCGACCGTTACCATCACTTGCTGATGCCTTTGCTGAAGTGCGAAGAGAAGCTAGTAAATAGAGAGTTATGCTGGGAGAAAAGGAATCAACTGTTAAGTCTGCTGATATGTCTGCATTGGCTACCAAAAATACTATTGACCGTTCCTCTGGAGAATCAAAACGAGATGGTCGTCCGTAGTGCACTCACTACAATAAAATTGGTCATACCCGTGAGAAGTGTTGGGAAATCCACGGGAAACCTGCAAATTGGAAGCCAAAAGGGCAGAATAAAGGTCGTGTATATCAAGTCTCTACTGATGACAAGGTTGATTAGACTCGTGCATCCTCTGACTCTGATGGTGTGTTTCTCAGTAGGACTCAATTTGAACAACTTCAGAGGCTTATGACTCAACCTCATAAGGGCACTAGTAATATGGCCCAGCAAGGTACAGCTTCCCATGTTGATAGCCAAACTTGTTGGATCCTTGATTCTGGAGCCTCTGATCATATGACAGGTAATCCAACCTTGTTTAGTTCTTACACTCCATACTCGAACCTTCATGAGTCAAGATCGCTGATGGCAGTTTCTCCAAGATTCAAGGACACGGAACCGTTAAACTTTCTGAGCAGATTAATTTAAAATCTGTTTTTCATGTTCCTTCTCTAGCTTGCAATCTCATTTCCATTAGCAAGCTGACTTCTGCGTTGCATTGTTTTGCTAAATTCTTTCCAAATGGTTGTGTTTTTCAGGAACAGGACTCGGAGATGATGATTGGAAGTGCTAGGGAGGATGGCGGACTTTACTACTTTGAGGAGAATGTGACTCAAAAAGCTATCCTCACTGCATTATACCTTATAAATCGCATGCCATCTCGCATTTTAAATTTTCAAACTCCTATTTCTAGTCTTCTTCGCGCCTTTCCCTCTTTCCGAGGCATATCCTCTCTACCTTTCAAGCTGTTTAGTTGTGTTGTATTTGTCTATATTCCCTCTCATCAACGGTCAAAGCTTGATCCTAAGTCTCTCCGATGTGCCTTCATTGGTTATTCTCCTACTCAGCGAGACTATAAATGTTATTCACCCTCTCTTCGTAAGGTCTTTGTCTTATGGATATCACCTTTTCTGAGACTCAATCTTTTTTCCCCTTGACTTCTCTTCAGGGGGAGTCTATAGGAGCAGATGAAGATCAGTCATGGGAACCTACTGATGCCGCAGTGTTACCTACATTATTGGAGGCAGGGGGAGCTATAGTACCCTCATCATTAGAGACAGAGAGAGACTCCTCAAAATGGGGACAAGTTTATAGCAGAAGAAAGCTTCCTCAAAGTGTGAATAACCCAGAGCCTCTAACTGCCAGGAATCTGAACGAAGTTCTAGTTCCAACACTCCAATACCTGAGAGCCATGACAAAGATGGTCTACACTTGCCCATTCTTAGAAAAGGTATTCGGTCTTGTCCTAATCATCCTATTTCTAATCATATTTCATATGTAAAGTTATCTCCAGGGTTTCGTGCTTTCAACAATCAACACTATGTTGGATTGTACAAAAATACCGAGAAATATACATAAGACTCTCAATGATAAAAAATGGAGAGACGTTGTCCTTGAAAAAATGAATGCACTAGAAAGAAATGAAACTTGGGAGACAGTGACCTCACCAAAAGGAAAACAAGCAGTAGGATGCTAGTGGATGTTTACAATAAAATTCAACGCAGATAATAGCATCAATAGATACAAGGCAAGATTGGTTGCGAAGGGGTTCACTCAGACTCATGAAATAGATTATCATGAGACTTTTGTTCTAGTTCAAAGATCAATACCATCCGAGTTCTCTTATCTCTTTCTGCCAACCTAGATTGGCCTCTACACAGTTAGATGTGAAGAATGCATTCTTAAATGGCGATTTACATGAGGAGGTCTATATGGATTCTCCACCTGGCTTTGAGAAAGGAGATGGATCAGTGTGGAAACTGAAGAAGTCTCTCTATGGGTTGAAACAATCCCCTAGAGAATGGTTCGACAAATTCACACAAGCAGTCAAAGGAAGAGGTTTCATTCAAGCACAGACTGATCATACTCTCTTCCACAAACACTCTAAAGATGGTAAAATTGTTATTCTTATTGTTTATGTGGATGATATAGTTCTTACAGGTGCTGATAGTGAGGAATTGAATTCCTTGAAGAAGTATCTAGCAGCTCAGTTTGAGCTAAAAGACCTTGAAGCTCTTAAATATTTCCTTGGTATGGAAGTTGCTAGGAGCAAAGCAGGCATCACTCTCGCACAAAAGAAATATGTTCTAGATCTTTTGCTGGAAACAGGAATGCTAGGATGTAAGCCTGCTGAAATGCCTGTGGAACCTAACACCAAGTTAGGTATTGAAAATGGGAATGAAGTGGATAAAGAGCAATATCAGAGATTGGTTGGCAAACTTATTTGCTTATCCCACACACGACTTGACATTGCCTTTGCGGTGAGTTGATTAGTCAATTCATGCACTCACCCAAGGAGAAACATCTAAATGCAGTCTACAGGGCGCTTAGATATCTCAAGAACACTCCAGGCAGAAGATTATTCTTTAAAAAGGAGTATAATAGGACAATTGAAATCTACACTGATGCAGATTGGGCAGGTTCATCAGTAGACAAGAGATCTACCTCAGGCTATTGCACCTATGTGTGGGGTAATCTTGTTACTTGGAAAAGAAAAAAAAAACAGTGCTTGCAAGAAGTAGTGCTGAAGCAGAATTTTGAGCTTTAGCTTATGGAGTTTGTGAAGGAATTTGGTTAAGAAGACTTCTTGAGAGTTGAAGATTTCATATTCCTTACCAATAAACTATATTGTGACAACAAGGCTGCTATCAGTATTGCTAAAAATCCTGTTCATCATGATAGGACAAAGCATGTGGAAGTTGATCGCCACTTCATCAAAGAGAAAATAGATGATGGAAGTGTGTATACGATGTATATTCCTACCAAAGAGTAGACTACAAATATCCTTACTAAGGGCCTACATCGTCCAGCCTTCGAAGACTTTGTTAGAAATAATATTAGTCTATTATTATTAGATTAGTCTAGATTGTGGGCTTAGCCCATTAGGTCTTTTAGTCTCTATTGTTATACACGCTTGAATATACAATAATATTCAGATTCAACATGGTATCAAAGCCTCACCGTCCCCCACTTTAAAGTGGAATTAAAATAAAAAGCACAAAAAGGTAAACCAAAAATTGGACTTGTGCAATATCCACACTTCAAGCCCAAAGGGCTCTCGTGTGAGGGGGCGTGTTGAGATATATAGTCCCACATTGATTGTGTAGGCAACTAATGTGGCCTTTATACGACAAATGCAACCTGTGAGCTCATCTGGCTGAGACAATTGCTTAAGGAACTCCATCTCTGTGAACAACGGCCTATGAAGCTCATTTGTGACAATCAAGCCGCTTTGCATATATCCTCTAACCCAGTCTTTCATGAGAGGACCAAGCATATAGAAATTGACTGTCATTTTGTTAGAGAAAAGATCCAGTCAGGGGAAATCGAGACAGCATTTGTCAATTCCAATGATCAACTTGCAGATGTATTCACTAAAGCTCTTAGAGGTCCCCGAATAGATCATATTTGTAACAAGCTGGGAGCTTTTGATATATACACACCAGCTTGAGGGGGAGTGTTAGAAATAATATTAGTCTATTATTATTAGATTAGTCTAGATTGTGGGCTTAGCCCATTAGGTCTTTTAGTCTCTATAAATAGAGAGTCTTCTTGTACAGTTATACACACTTGAATATACAATAATATTCAGATTCAACTGACTTGATTGGCAAGTTGGGAATGATCAACATTTACCTCCCAAATTGAGGGGCAGTGTAGGAAATCAAGATTCAAATATTTCTGTTTTTATTTCCTATTAATTAGTAGATAGGATTGAGTCATACTTAGCTATTCTCTCTTGTATAAATGCTCCTTATGTAATTCATTCATTGTATCAAATATACAGACACATTTTTTTTTTTAATATTTCAATACAATTAAATACATTAAAGTAGAAACAAGCTCACTAATATGCTCAAAGTTGTAATGGTGCGCTGCAGTGCATTTGCACAGAGGCTCTGGGAAAAAAGACCCCCATTGTGTTGCGAGGTAGGTGTTGGCCTATGTATACAACATGTACCATTTTCTGCTGTGATTAGTGCGGGACATGGGAGACATGTAAAATGCAGAGATTTTGTTTCTACAGGTTTCTGTTTGGAGCAACATATCCATATATATATTGGATATATCTACTGCTTATTGTTTACATTTGATGTTGGAGGACAGGAGAAGAATTCGCAGTTTCTCCCACAATGAAGTAAGTGGCATTAAGTGGTTATATATATAGGCGAATAGGGATTTTGAATAGATTTCACAGAGCAAAAAAGAGCTAAATAGGCCAGCAAAAACTATATGATAATTCAGAATTTAAACCTAATAAATTTTTCTATTATGAAATATGTAAAACAATACATTTAGCCTAACTCAAGGTGGATTCATTGGGAATGTTGTCATTGTTGGTAAAGGACAAAAAAATACAATCTTTTTCATAATTAAACTAAATTTTAAACAACCCATTTAGGTTATAAACAATTTGCAAGCAAATAAACAAATAAATGTAAGCTTTAATATCTTCAGCACTTAATAACGTGGACATACACTTCTGCTAAGTAAGATGCAGTATGATGCACAACTAAGAAAAGCGAATTACCAGCCAGGAATCACAAGAAATCTCTACATGGCCCAAAAGAAACTGGAAAACCAGTTGGGTTCTAAGATAGATGTAATGCATAAAGAAGAATCATCAGTGAACAACATTATTTCTACAAATACACTTAAAAAATCATGTAATAAACATACCTGCATTGATGGCGGCTTGAGTTGTGCTTTCAAATCCCGCACAGCAGACTGGAAAAGTTTTCAGACAGCCATAAGCGAAAAGAAAAAAATAATAATAATAAAAACAAGAAGAAGAAGGACAGCAGTAACAATAATAGAAAAGGAAGTATTTCCAGTTCTAGAGCTTGAACAGCTAACAATATGTTAATAGGATTCCAGGAACATACTTATTATATCTTCGTATTATTAATAGCCAGCCATTAATTAAGTAAAGGATACTTGAAAATTTTTAAGCAAAAATTCCAGAATTCAGACCATTTATTAGGTGTACGTGTACCCATAAACTTTATTACCTAACATAATAAAATGAGAGGTAAAATTTCTATCTAAAAGTCCAATGTGGACCACTATACATGTTTTCCAACTGCCAACCAGGTCAGTAAAAGACATAACAATCAACATTATACAGGTAAAAATTTACAGCACCTTCATATGAAGAGCACTGCAGATGCCAAGCACAATTGAACAACCTCATGCAGACAAATATTTGATGTTCTTTGTTATCAGATATAAATGAGAAAGTGGGAGAGAAAGAAAGAATGCAATCCAGATTTCTTCCTACTCCCTTCAAATATAATTTCTTGAAGGGAAAAAATGGAACTTACTGAGGTGGTCAAAGTTGATGCCAAAATGAAACACACTCACACACACAATAATCCTAATTGCTATAAAAAAAAAGAATTTTATTTCAAGAATATTACCTTCAACTCTGCTATCTCTTGTTCCCTTTTTGCAAAAGTTACAATGAATGCAGCTTCCTTTTTCTTTGCTTTTTCAAGCTGATATCCAATAGAAAAATGATAAGGATCAATCAAACCCAATCGATGGATGATGAATTGTTTTGAAAAAGAAGAAAAAAGAAAAAGAAAAGGAGATTAGATTCTAAACCTGCTCTCTTAAAGACTCTTCAGAGGATTTCAGGGCCTGAAGATAATTAATCAACATTTTGGGCTCTAGAGTGAAGAAAGATTAAATAATTGTTCAGGTATACATTTAAAACACAGAAAACAACTGTAAAAAGAGCTAGTTTTAGAACAATTAGTTCAGGTATATGTCACTAGCAAAATGCACAGTACAAACTAACCTGGAGTGATCCCAGCACGTACACAAGATTCATTTTCAAGTGAAGAATGCCAACCCTGAATCTCAGATTTTGCAGCCTCAAGTTCATTCTGGAAAATGTGGTGATCAGGTCAAGGTTTCTATGAAAGAAAAAGGTACAACTCAACCTAAGATATGACTACCATATGTGGACTTCGTAGAACAAAACAACATAACCCTCAATTCTCACTGCTTAGAGTCAGCTACGACAATGGAGGGAAGGTTGCAAGAACATTCTGGTCCACACCATTACCATCCAAAAGTTATACATAAAGATTGCAGCCTTTTCATTGTGAACCACTCAATGGAAAAGAAAATGAAAACAACACTGCCCAACAGAAGAAGGAAGCAAACAATGGCAATTCTGAAAATGAAAACGTACTTGGCATGTTTCAAGTGTATCCTTACAGTTCTGAAGACTGCCAAAAACAAAGTTCCCAAAATTAAAAAAAAAAAATTAGGCCCAAAAAGCTTGCTGCAATCTTGGCAAAGTACAATATATTTCACACTAACAATCTGCAAAATACCTCTCGCGAAGTGACAAAATCATTCCTGTTGTTACACCAGAGGCAGCTTCTTCAGCTTTTGATTTGATCTGCATCACAAATTGCAGTTTAATTTTATTATTATTATTATTTTAAGTAAGCCATATCATAAACAGTGTAATCCGCTTCACCCATGCCAACTTCCATTGCTCACCAACGCATCAACAAATAAATATCCCCAATCAAACAGATATCACTATTGTTCTTCAATTTTTAATTTTTAATTTTTAATTTTTAATTTTTTTTTTTGGTAAATAATGTACTTTGATTTTACGTGCCCCGGGGATGGAGCGAGTAAGACTCCAAAACTCAACCAGCATCGTCTTCAAACAAAAAAGTTGAAATTAAAGTATTGCAAAAGCACAATACCATCATCTTTCAAGTTGTTTCAGTTTAAACACTTCATCCATAACTATAATCCAACACAGCCAAGGGAAGAAGCAGCAGCAGAAGAAGAAAAAGTGCATTGTATGAACAGATTCATGTAAGCAGTTACCTTCTTTGGCGCAAAAGGATCATTGTCATAATCTTCATCATCATAATCAGGAGATGGCCTCTTATCACCTTATATATTCGAAAAAACGAAGCATTCAAACAGAGAATAATACATTAACCAACATATCTTAAGAAACACCATTTGATATCAAAATCAAAACCTGAATGCCTTCCGCCAAATTCGCCTCCGAAATCAAAGTCCTATGTTTGGAGGAATAGAAAATTAGGTTAAAAGGAATCTGGAGAAGGAGAAGAAAGATTCGGAGAAAGAAATGGCTTGAGGGATGTTAGCACTTACCTCATCGAAATGAGCAGGAGAAGCCATGGACTTCCTAATAAAACCGTCAATGTTGCAGAGCACGTTTGAGGGAGGAAGAAGTATACACAGCAAAATGGAAAATACTATCGATCAATGTGATAAAAGATGAGGTATAAAAGGCAAATCATTAATATTTGAGTTTTCAAATCCTGATAGTAAAAAAAAATTCAAAAACTCCTCTCCTATTTTTTTCTTTAATCATTTATCTCTTATATTATTTTTAATCACTTATTTCCCAATAAATTTTTCCATTCAAATCCTGATAGTAAAAAAAAAAAAGAAAAGGTTAATACCTCCCTCATGTTAAAGGAAAACAAAAAAAATTCTTGCAAAGACAAGAATTAATATGGGAAGGAATCATTGGTTTTTTTTTCTCTACCTATATTTATTTTGCTCTCCTAATTCTTGTCTCTGCAAGAAATTTTTTTGTTTTCATATAACATGACAAATATATTACCAAAAAAACGGCTAAATATATTAAAAAACTTACCATAATAACAAAAAAGATTAAAAGTAAAAAGAATAAAAATAGTCAAAATAAAAAATAGACTAAAGATAAAAAAAAAAAAAAAAGACCAAATATGTTTGAAATAAATAAGAAAATAGACTGAGGACAACAAAAGATAGAAGAAAAAATAAAATCAAATATATTAAACATTCACAACATTAATTTTCTTTTGTGTCTTGTTTTTTCTTTCACCAGTGATACAAAAGACTAAAACTGAAAAAAATTAGAAGAAAAAAAACCAAACATATACAAATAAAAATAAAAAAAATAGACTTGGGACAAAAAAATAAAGACAGATATGTTAAAAACTTATAAAAGGATATCTTTTTCTTCTATTTCTTTTTTGTTTTATTTTTCTCTCTTATTTTATCTTCTATTTCATTCTTGTCTTCACTCAATTTTTTTATTTTTGGTGAATTGATTGTTTAGTTTTTTTGGACAATTGAACATGTATATGAACTTCCCTTGGGGATTTATCCTAAGAGGTATAGCTCTCGGAAGTTCTATACGGATACTTGCCTTGAGGTAAGACTCAGTGGAGTGATTCTAGTGTACTAAATGCATGTTAACTCTCTCATGGAGAATTGTTTATGGGAAAAATTTCTGCAGTTAATGCAGATAAGTTATCTGCATTTATTTTCAAAACGAAGTTGTTTTGGTATTGAAAAATTAAAAAATTATAATTATAAAGACTATAATAACCCTGAAATAAATTGAAATTACAAAAATACCATGATTTATGCCCCAAAACGACATCGTATTGGGCTTGCTGCAGATAACTTATCTGCAGTAACTGCAGAAAAAGCGAACCCATTGTTTTTAGGCATTATCTCCATGATTTGGTGTCATATATTATGCATAATTCCCTTAGAATTACATGATATTAGCATTAATCTTGTCTCTTTATGTTTTGAATGAAAAATGTGCTAAGTATTTATATTTGATGTTATTTCGAGTGCTAGAGCAATTCACTGTCTCTGTTGTTTTTATTATAGATCAGATATGTAACATAGTTGTAGCAATCGGGCTTAAGTGAAACGGTGCGTTAAAGGTGCAAGGTGTAACTAACTTTTGAATTTCAAATTCAAACGAAAAGATAAGAGAGCTATAGCACTAGAATCAGGATAAGAAAGTTGCACAAGACAAGGATAAGGCATATATCACTTCCAATTCGTAAAATTCAGCCAACAAGAGGATCAAACTGAGTTAAGGGATAAACATCTATCCTCTTCAGAGGCTGTTTTATAGGGAACTTGAATTTGAAGAGATACTTGGCGTCCAAGTCATCATTGTCTATACAAGGAGAAGCCTAAACTCGTCCAAACTCAGCTGAGATGCTGTCAAACACTTAGAGGATTTTGAGGGCTTGTTGAGAGGGATCCAACGGATCAAAGGGAGAAGCTAAGATCCAATAGAGTGATCACTGGATCTGGTAGATCCCTTCAGTAACACCTTATATAAACAATTATTAGAGTATGTCGCATTTCTCATTTGTGTTTCTTAATATGTATTTCCTCCTTAAAATACTTTACTTAATAAAAAAAATTAAAATTAGTCTAAGAATTAATTTCTTCATATAATAAGTCATGTTATATACCAACACCGCCCACAAAGACTATATGTATCAGATGCAAAACTACAGTTAACATCAATGACTCGTAGGCCTAGGGTAAATCAACACTACAAATATGAGGGATTTTCATATTGCTACACCAATTTTACTTTCAAAAGATAGGAGCAGAATCCTCCAAAACATCGTCAACATCTACATGCCTAAGAAAATATATAGAGGCGTAGGTGAGCATCGGTATGATCCTCGTATATCAGTATCAGCATTTCCTATCCTTTTCCACACAAGTAAACCCAATCCATCTGTACTTATTTGGAAATGTTAGACAACAATAAAATACACAGGTGAGAAATATAAATATTCCCAGCAATCTTGAGCATTTTCAAACTATAACATTTCTAGCCACATTTACGTGAAAAATACCTTCTCATGTCAAATAATTTAATACGGGATAAATAAACACAATTAATTACTTAACAGTAATTAACTAGATATAATTATGTCCAACCTTTTAGGGCTCTGACTGTGAGAGATATATACATGGTTGAGCTCAAAATCAGAGTAGGGCGTCCCTAATATATAATCTATTGTATTTCATTCTTATTTGGGGTCAGCTTCACGTCAAAAATTTATAATTTATAGCTACCACATTTACTCAAACAACAAATTATTTAGACAATCAGAGGTATGACCATATTCTCTTCACAAATTATACGGATTTAGATCACCAAAATTATCAGTCACTAGTGTATATAATGTTAGCAATTCATCAGTAATTCATTAATACATGTTCAACAGTAATCAATCAAGAACATGACATAGGAACTTTAGAATTCATGAGTTTCACATAAACATACCTTTGTCCATAATTGCGAAAGATCTTTAACAGTAGAATGCTTTCTCTAAGCCTTAACCCTTTCACCGTTCTTGTATCTTCTTTGATAGGGATATGATACAACTTTTCTAGGCAGACTCAGAAGGACATTTGTTTTCTATCAGATACCCTTATCTGAAAACTGACCATATAAACTATTATATAACTGGCCTATCACAGTTATTTCTTATTAACTTCCCTTAATAGCCAAAACGTCAATTATCATTAATGCGAAACGTCAATTACCATAAAGCCTCTTTTATTATTAATTAAACCAATTGACACACATTACACATGAGACACAACTAGTTTTACATTCTCCCACTTGGCTCATGTCATAAGGTGTCCCTTCATGATTTAATTAACATTCACTATAATGCGCATTTACTAGGCTAAAGGTTCTATACATTGACCTTATCATAATTCATTATTAGAAATAAAATCAACATGAGTCATGGCGGTTGTATGCTATCAAGTCGGCATAGTCCCTTCCATGTACCACTATATTGACTCTTCTTCCTAACATGATACTTTAATAGGAAGTGTACATTATGTCCAACAATAATGTCTTCATAACGGACCATAATTATTTTCAATATCATCACATATACTTGCATGCATACATAAATTGAAAATAAGACAATAACAGAAACATATATTCATCAATGAGCTCAGAGTGTCAACACTTAATACATAACTATAATTTTTATCATTCATTAGCTGACATAATGCCCATTTTACATACATGACCAGTAAATGTCTTGGGCGGTAGTCCCTTCGTCAAGGGATCAGCTAACATAAGATCGGTGCTAATATGCTCTATAGACACTCTATGTTTCTGAACCTCTTCTTTAACGGCAAAGTACTTTAATTCCAAATGTTTAGCACCTTTGGAATACTTGTCGTTTTTAGAAAAGAAGACTGCTGCAGAATTATCACAATAAATTTTCAGCGGCTTTTTAATATTGTCGACCAATCCAAGCCCTGAAATAAAGTTCTGTAGCCATTTAGCCTGAATCGTGGCTTCAAAGCATGCCACAAATTCAGCTTCCATAGTGCACGCAGCTATTACAGTCTACTTCGCACTTTTCCATGATATAGCTCCTTCAGCTAAAAGATACAGGTAACCACATGTAGACTTTCTTGTGTCTACGCATCCTGCAAAATCTGAATCTGTGTATCCTATCACTTCAAGGTTGTTAGACCTTCTATAAGTAAGCATGTGACCTTTAGTTCCTTGCAAATATCTCAGAACTTTCTTTGCAGCTTTCCAATGATCCATACCGGGATTACTTTGGTATCTACCCAACATCCCAACTGCAAAGCTAATATCTGGTCTCGTACAAGTCTGAGCATACATTAAACTCCCAACTAATGATGCATACGGAATTGCTTCCATTTCTTTTCGTTCCAATTCACTTTTAGGACATTGCATGAGACTAAACTTATCTCCTTTCTGAATTGGAACTGGAGATGATGAGCAGTTTTCCATTCTGAATCTCTCTAGAACTCTATTAATGTATGCTTTCTGAGACAAACCTAACAGTCCTTGTGATCTATCACGAAATATTTCTATTCCTATCACATAAGTTGCCTCACCCATATCTTTCATTTCAAAGTTACTAGAGAGAAACTTCTTAGTCTCATTTAAAAGACCATTGCCAACAAAATATCATCAACATACAGAATCAATAATATAAACTTGCTCCCACTGATCTTCAGATATATACATCGATCAACGATGTTTTCTTTAAATCCAAAGGAAACAACAGTATTATTAAACTTAAGATACCATTGTCGTGAAGCTTGTTTAAGTCCGTATATTGACTTCTTAAGTTTGCACACCATGTGCTCTTTACCCTTTTCTATGAACCCCATTGGTTGGTCCATGTACACATCTTCATCTAAATTCCCATTTAGAAAGGCAGTTTTCACATCCATTTGGTGTAACTCTAGATCATAATGAGCCACCAATGCCATAATGATTCTTAAAGAATCTTTCTTTGAAACTGGTGAAAAAGTTTCTTTATAGTCAATGCCATCTTTCTGAGTGAATCCTTTTGCAACTAGTCTGGCCTTGTAACGTTCCAAGTTACCATGACAGTCACGTTTGGTCTTAAAGACCCATTTACAA